ATCTGCATCTTAAATATTCAAGAAAGTTGACAAATCATAGGAAATATAATTTTCAAATTGTATTGTTTTAAATGTAGCATAATGAATAAAACCTTACTAAAGGCACTTTGAAAGGAAGATAGCTAAAAAAAATTCATTATTTTGTTTCAGCAATGAATATTCTGAATCATGCAAAGATAAAGAAAACTCTCTGCACTAGTTGATATATTTCCTCTATGCATTTGTCAAAAAAAAAAAAAACCTGAAAAATACCAATAAGAACCCTTTACCTTAAGGATTACATTAACATTCATCTTAACTTGAAAATTTACAGGAGTGTGTCAACAACTGTGCTACTACTGTAGCAACATTTGTAATTGATTAGTTACAAAACACGTTGATATATATTATGAATTGTAAATTTGACAAAGCCAACTCATTATGAGTTTATAATAATAATAACAAGTCAACATAAACCACAAACACAATTGGATTAATATAAGGATCAGTCAACATTTACATAAACTCTACAAAATTAATGATGTTTCTTAACACTTGGCCTTCTGAAATGACTGCTATAAAAGTCCATTCCTAGTTTTAGGGATTCAAAATTATCACCATACACTATGTGTAACTGATCTAGCAACAGTATAGGGCTTAGCCTTATTCAGACATTATTGTAAAGATATGCACATTAGCCTGACCACAGGCATTTTTCAACCCTATCCAACGGGTCCGAATTTTAGTTTATGTATTACCCGGTAGTCAGCTGCAGTTTAAAGTAATGGTTCTGAAGAAAATACTCGGGGCATTTCTGGAAAAATAAATCATTATGGGGGAAAAATATACCTATTTTGGGCCAGGGGAAACATTCTTTATTCTGCTGTAAAATACAGGAGAAAAATCACTGTGTAAACACAAATAAAATAATACTATACCTGTAGTATAGTTAACTAATTAATACAAGTATTAAAACTTTTCAATGAATTTATACTAGTATTAAAACTTTTCATCTAATTATACCCCCGCACAACAAAGTTGTAAGGGGGGTATGCACAACAAAGTTGTAAGGGGGGTATACTGGAATCAGCTTGTCCGGCCGTCCGTCCGGCCGTCGGTTTTTGTGTCGCCTCTACGGAGTAGTGGCGACATATAGGGATCACTTCTCCGTCGTCTGTCTGTCCGTCTGTCTGTCTGTCTGTCCGTCTGTCTGTCTGTCTGTCTGTCTGTCCGTCCGTCCGTCACAAAACTTGTCCGGACTACTCCTCATAAACTACTGGTGCAATTTCATCCAAACTTTACAGGAATGATCAGTACCAAGTGTAGTTGTGCATATTGTCAGCATTTTCCGGTTCAATGATTTTTGTCAGAGTTATGGCCCTTTAATAATTTTTAATTTTAAAGTCTGTCCGGACTACTTCTCTTATACCACTAATGAAATTTCAATGAAACTTTACAGGATTGATCTGTAGCTCAAGTCCTTGCGCATATTGCAAGGGTTTTCCGGTTGAATGATTTTTGGCCGAGTTATGGCCCTTTGATAAAAAGGTTTCTTTTTCTGTGGGTTGCCAGATACACAAAAGCTTGTCCGGACTACTCCTCATAAACTACAGGTGCAATTTCATCCAAACTTTACAGGAATGATCAGTACCAAGTCTAGTTGTGCATATTGTCAGCATTTTCCGGTTCAATGATTTTTGTTTGAGTTATGGCCCTTTAATAATTTTTATTTTTAAAGTTTGTCCGGACTACTTCTCTTATACCACTAATGCAATTTCAATGAAACTTTACAGGATTGATCTGTAGCTCAAGTCCTTGCGCATATTGCACGGGTTTTCCGGTTGAATGATTTTTGGCCGAGTTATGGCCCTTTGATAGAAAGGTGTTTTTTTCTGTGTGTTGCCAGATACACAAAAGCTTGTCCGGACTACTCCTCATAAACTACTGGTGCAATTTTATCCAAACTTTACAGGAATGATCAGTACCAAGTCTAGTTGTGCACTGTCCGTCTGTCTGTCCGTCTGTCACAAAATTTGTCCCAACATGAAATTGGCCATCATGAGGCGACACATGTGATTACTGATCGCTCTTGTTTCATTTCTGCCGTATAACTTAAGATTCCTTTGACCCACAGTCTTCATATTTGGCATGGTAGTTAGTCATGATTAGTAGATGACCCCTATTGATTTTGAGGTCACCAGGTCAAAGGTCAAGGTCACAGGGGCCTTGACTTTAAAAAGCTTGTCCGCCCAATAACTTAAGATTCCTTTGACCTACAGTCGTCATATTTGGCATGGAGGTTAGTCATGATTAGTAGATGATCCCTATTGATTTTGAGGTCACTAGGTCAAAGGTCAAGGTCACAGGGGCCTTGACTTCAAAAAGCTTGTCCGCCCAATAACTTAAGATTCCTTTGACCCACAGTCTTCATATTTGGCATGGAGGTAAGTTATGATTAGTACATGACCCCTATTGATTTTGAGGTCAAAGGTCAAGGTCACAGGGGCCTTCACTTCAGAAAGCTTGACCGCCCAATAACTTAAGATTCCTTTGACCCACAGTCTTCATATTTGACATGAAGGCTAGTCATGATAAGTAGATGACCCCTATTGACTTTGAGGTCAAAGGTCAAGGTCACAGGGGCCTTGACTTCAAAAAGCTTGTCCGCCCTATAACTTAAGATTCCTTTGACCCACAGTCTTCATATTTGGCATGGAGGTTAGTCATGATTAGTAGATGACCCCTATTGATTTTGAGGTCACCAGGTCAAAGGTCAAGGTCACAGGGACTTTGACTTTAAAAAGTTTGTCTGCCTAATAACTTTAGATTACTTTGACCCACAGTCTTCATATTTGGCATGGATGTTGATCATGATTAGTAGATGACCCTTTTGATTTTGAGGTCACTGGATCAAAGGTCAAGGTCATAGGGACTTTGACTTCAAAAAGTTTGTCCACTCCTTAAGATTCCTTTGACCCACAGTCTTCATATTTGGCATGGATGTTGATCATGACTATAAGGTGACCCCTATTGATTTTGAGGTCACTGGGTCAAAGGTCAAGGTCACAGGGACCTTGACAAAAAAAAGCTTTTCTTCTCAATTGCTAAAGAATGTCCTGTCCGCAATTTATTGATTTTGACATTTTCACATTTGAAGCATGTAGAATACATAACTTAGCAATGCACTGGCATAACCTCAGATTTTGCAGGGAGGTTGTCCTTGAGCTCTAAATGGCCACTGTTGATTCTGACAAAGTGGTATGCAGGGGTATTCAAGCCATGATAGTGGCAGTTCTAGTTTATACTAGATTTAAAACTTTTCAACTTTAGATTCAGTGTAAGAAAATTCAACTAATTTCTTAGATGTAAATTTGCTCTAAAACCTCAGAAAACTGAAGCAGATGTGTTAAATTAGAAACAGAAATGACATTAAATTGTTTAAACATGCATGCCCTGAATTTGATTGAAATAAACTCCCAACAGTATTTATGTGGGGAAAACCTTAAAGTCTGTAAGTTAACAATTAACCTGCTGTTACAGAGGGTGATTAAATTTTGTCATTAATACTACAGCCAGGCAAGCCTTAAGATCCTTGCAGCCTGATCAGGCTCTTGACTGTTGGTAGTAAATTTTTTTTTTTTTTTTTTTTTTTGAAATCCCTTAAAGCAGCAAGCCTCCAGATTCATGTTAATTTTCAAGAAAATTTTGGAAATGTATTGAAAAGTAAAATATTGTGAGGTGAACAAATAAAGTTATTCACATATTTCATTTGGCACTTTCAATCCATGCAAATATCCAAAAAGAGGTCAAAATATGCAAAAACAGCCCTTACTGCATTAGTAACGCAGTAGAAATATGGTGATAAAATACTGAAAAATCAGTCTTAAATCAAAATAACACGTAAACTAAAACATGAATCTTGAATGTTTTAACCTTTTACCTTTCTTAAAATATTAGTACATTATTCTCAATTTTCATTTTCTTGAAATATTTATGCTCATCTGGGGGTGTGCAGCTTTAAACTTCAAATGGACTGTTCCAAACTCAAAGCAGTGCTGATCCATTACATTTCTATAGGTTAAGTTTAAAAGCTATTTTGTTGTCATTACAAAGTGCATGACTGTATGGTAAAATTAACCATGTATAAGCTGACAAATAGAAGATATATTTGTTTTACAAGGTTATGATCCCTCGAGGGCATATATCAAACAAGCTATCACTGGATAATTAACATAAAAATACTTGTATTTTCTTGTCCTATATGCACTGTGTGTAAATGAAACAAATTAATGGTTTTATTTTAGGTAGGAGAATGTTATATAGTGTAATTCAATTAGGAAAAAATACAATAATTTATCCTTACAGAAATATTGTAAATATTCAAATGGTGTATGGATTTTTATTTCGGAATTATATTTATGCATGAAACAGCTGTATGCCTTAATGGAGTAATAAAGGATATTTAGAATATTTTATACGCTTCTGTAACTTGGTTTGCTTTAGTTCAAGAATAATTGTCAAAAGGGGGAAAAATTACATGCATGCACTGCTTGATAGGATGTTAATTTCTTAGTTGTATAATTATTTAAATGGAATTTGCATTGTTATTTCATGACGCTGGAATATTTTTCATATGTGATCATTCGTAGTTTATCTAATACATATGCCATGTAACATGATGATATCTTATGTCACTAAATGAATCTCTGTTTAATTATACATTATGTATAGGTTAAAGTTTATAAGTATGTATTTACAAAAAGAAATTGTGCGCCGCGCGACCAATTTAATTTTGTAAATACATACTAATAAATTGTTTTAAATAATTTTTATAAATAGTTGATTTACTAGACTGATTAACAGTTTGTCAATTTACTAAAGTAAATGTGTTACGATTCATTTGAAATACTGCAATTCTATTGGACAAAAAAATAATTTCAAACACTAAGTAACATTCTGTACCATATGCATTTATGATTTATATAATAAATATATTTATAAGACTTTTTTTCTATTTCCAGACAGATTTCTGTAAAGGTCAACATTAACTATGTCATCAAGTACTATAACAGTCAAACCCCGTAGAAAAACCGCCCAGTCTCCGCCTCCAACAGCGCAATCAACCAATCAAAACAAAGGAACTGTACTATTGCGCAACCCACTACCCAGGTACAGTTTTGATCAGAAGTCAAAACCTGGAAAATCGAAGACTGAAAAGAAAATATCTGCAGAATCTGACTCAAATAAAGATGCGACTGACAATAATCTTACAAATGCTGGAAAACTAAAGAATTCTTCTGTTTCCTCTCCACAGTCAAATATTACAGAGCCAGTTGCTGTTTGCAAGCTCGTGGCATCATTCCCGCAAAATTCAATCGGAGTGGAAACTTTACCAGAAACTTCATTTGTGTCAAAACCTGAAAATTGTGAAACTGGCTTGAAAGATAAACCGGTCAATAAAGTCGGACCAATTAGTAAAACACTCACCCATTCAGTCAGTGATTCAGTTATAATAAGTGTTCAAAATAATTTAGAAAATGGTGCTTCATCTCCACAGACTGGGACCCACTCTCAAGAGACAAATGTTTTAGACTGTGACTCAGGTGGGAACCAGTCTACAAGTACTGGTACCCTGTCTGAGGAACAATGTAAATGTTCAGAGAAAATTAAACATCTTGAAGAGGAGAAACAACTTCTGAAGAATCAGCTAGAAGTTCAGCTTCAGGTACATGTAGTGATGTCCTTACATAAAATTACACAAAATGATGAAATCATGGAAATATTTCTTAATTTTCAGGATGTATGTAATAAATGTACTCTTTTAAAAGTATATAATTATATTATTCTTTTAAAAGTTTACCCAAATCTTGCTTTTGATCACAAAAGTGATCATTACTATAATCAAGTTGTTTTTGTGATTTGTATCTTTGTTCCTAAATTTTTTTTCAAAAATGAGTTGTTTTATTACTATTTTCTTTTTTTATGCTCCCCGAAAAATTTCGGGGGAGCATATAGTCGGCGCCTTGTCCGTCTGTCCGTCCATCCGTCTGTCCGTCCGTCCGTCCGTTGTCTTGTCCGGAGCATAACTTGAAAACCCTTGGAGATAATTTGTTGAAACTTCATACAGTGGTAGAGGGCATCGAGGGGGAGTGCAGTGTCAAAGAACCATAACTCTATTTTGCCCGGTTTTTGAATTATCTCCCCTTATAGAAAAATCTTGTCCGGGGCATAACTCTAAAACTATAAGAGATATCAACATGAAACTTTGTAGGTGAATAGATCTCAATGGGTAGATGTGCAGTGCATAAGAACAATAACTCTTTTCATCCTAATTTTGGAGTTATTGCCCTTTGTTAATTTTAATACTTTGAACTTTGTCAGGAACATAACTTGAAAACCCTTGGAGATAATTTGTTGAAACTTCATACAGTGGTAGAGGGCATCGAGGGGGAGTGCAGTGTTAAAGAACCATAACTCTATTTTGCCTGGTTTTTGAATTATCTCCCCTTATAGAAAAATCTTGTCCGGGGCATAACTCTAAAACTATAAGAGATATCAACATGAAACATTGTAGGTAGATAGATCTCATTGAGTAGAGGTGCAGTGCAAAAGAACCATAACTCTGTTAAGCCTTATTTTTGAATAATCTCCCCTTTTAGAAAAATTTTGACTAGGACATAGCTGTAAAACTATAAGAGATATCAACATGAAACTTTGTAGGTAGATAAATCTCAATGGGTAGATGTGCAGTGCACAAGAATCATAACTCTACCTTGCCTAATTCTGGAGTTATTGCCCTTTGTTTATTTTGCTTTTTGAATTGTCCAGGACATAACTCGGAAATCATAAGAGATATCATCAAGAAACTTTGTAGGTTGATAGATCACATTGATTAGAAGTGCATTGCAAAGAACTGTAACTCTGCCTTGCCTAATTTTGGAATTATTGCACTTTGAACTTTTTCCACGGACATAACTCTGAAACTACAAGAGGTGTACTTTCCTGTGTCCAAAACCTATTCGGGGAGCATCACCCGGCTCAAACCGGGCTCTTGTTTTTGCAAGTCAGCAGTTTTTATTTTTAACATTTTGAATATATGTGACAAATATTATTTGCCTAATGTGATCAAAATAAGTTCATACTCCAATGGAATGAAAAATCAGGATCATTTGATACTCAGATCATGATTCTTTTCAGAAACAGTTGTACATGTAGTTAAGACACAGAGACTTGTATAATCCACTATATTACAATATAACACTACATTATATATGTATATTTGTAGGTTAATCAGGAACTGAAGAAACTGCTGGTAGCCTCTGTTGGTGATGATCTCCAGCATAGAGTGGAAAGACTTACAAGGTAACACTTAACTCTTACGTTGATATTTTCCAGTTAAGACTGAGGCACCGGCACACAAAAACTAAGGTTATTACAACCTAGACACCAGCATACCTGTAGAATACTAGCCAGACACATGCTTACGTGCAGAATAACTCTGTTGACTATTTGATGGTACAACAATACTGCTATAGACTTAGTCTGTAACCAAAGTTTGTTGCACCAACACTGATAAGGTCATATGGTGACTTTCCAGCTTTATTGGTACAGGAAGACCTCAGGTACCCCTCTGTGCATTATTTCAGGCAAAACACGTGCATATGAGTAGAACCACCCATTTTCCTTAAGCTGGCTTGATAGTTTACTGTCTTGAAAGAATTTCAAAGTCCTTTGTGGGATTTGAACCCACAAATGTCGGGAAAGCGGTTTTAAGTCAAAGACCTTAGCCACTCGGCCACGGATGCCTTAATTTTGTCTTAAAGTGACCTAAATCTAATTCTATACTTGATTATAATTATGTGTCCCAAAATTATTGGGAGACATATTGTTTTTACCTTGGCCGTCTGTTTGTCCGTCCATTGGTTGGTTTTCCATCCATCCGCATTAAGCTTGTCCGGCTTTCATAGGTCAAGCTACTGGTGGAATTTCAACTATACTTTACAGGAGTGATCAGTACCATGCCTAGTCGTGCATATTGCCGGCATGTTCTGCTGTACTGCACAAAATGGCCATCAGAGCTATGAATAGAAAAATCTTGTTTGGCTTTCACAAGTCAAGCTGCTGGTGGGATTTCATGAAAACTTCACATGAGTGACCATATATATGTAGGTTTGGGAGACATGTTTTTTTTGACTAAAACCCTTCTAGTTATGTAGAATACATGTAATTGTATGTTTATTGAATTACAGGGATAAGGCTCAAATGTCTATGGAGATTGGAGATTATTTCAAGAAGATGTCAGATGATTATGAACATTTAGATAAAATCTCCATACAGGCTGATATGTGGAGGAGCAAATACCTGGCATGCAGGTAATGTCACAAACTTTTAATAAAAATGATTTTTTTGCCATGTTTGGGGTCAGAAATGGAACCCTTATGATTCCCCTTTTCAATATGTTTTTTCCTCTCCTGTTGGTAGATTTTTTCCTCAAAAAACTCAAAAAAAGGAATTATTTAATTGATACTGACAAATTTTCTGCAGATTTCTTGTTAAGATTTTCCATTTGATAGTAATTTATTTATTTTCCACTGTAAAAAGGAGTGATTACTTTGGGTGCACAATGCTGACAAATATGTGTATATGCAATGCATTGATTTTTGTGTGATTTTTTATATCAAACTATAAGTGCAGATAATTTATTTTCAATATGTATAAACTATTGAAAACACTTTTATTTCAATATGTTTGAAAAAGCTCACTTTTAAAAAACATCTTTCTCATAACATTAAAGCAGCTTCATAAGTACATGTAGTATTTGTATTTTGATAATATATTTGAAATCTCTTCAACTAACAATTGATAATCCAAATTGATAGCATTACCATTCTGATACAAATTATTTAGGATATTTATGCCTTGGAAAATTTTCAGTACTTTTGTTGTGATCCCTTACTTCATTCTGAGCAAAAATGTAAAAATAATTATACTCATTGAGAGGGCATTTAAAACAAAGGGAAAAACCCTTGCAAATTA